TATATATATATATATATATAAAGTATGTCAATTTTTTATTTTTTACCTAAACATTTGAAACTCAGAACTGTGTTTTTGTATTCTTCCAACTTAGAATTTTGCACTTATATCCAAACATCTACTCAAGTTTGACAACTAACCGTATATCATTCTAATTTAAATCTATTTTCTTGTTGCATTTGTGTAAATGAAAACCATGTACAAACTTCATATACAATCATAACTGTTTATTTTGACCCAATAATTAGTTTAGTATTTAACATGTGTTTTCATTTACAGATGGATAGCTGTTATATTGTACTTGCTAGGATCTTTAATCTCCTTCTTCACAGCTTTGTTTGCTGTTCTTAGTCGAGGTTGGATTAGCCCCGGTATTGTCGGTCTTACATTATCATATGCCATTCATGCAAGTATTGATTTTTTTATCATCTTTTATTTTTATTTGTAAGGCTTGAGTTGAGTATTTTACAACTTTTTTCTCATATTGGTGTAAGAGTCATCGTGTTTGAGTCACTTGGTAAAACCATGATGATATTAGATTCTGTGCATTGCTGTGATTTTTATATTCTAATGCCCAAGAATATTTTGAAACAATGATCTTAAAAATTGACTTCAGTGTTATTGTTGTGCACGGATGAAGGAAAATGCTGTATAAATTTCCTCTACTTCTTTAATAGAAAGGAATTCATATTCAACCATTATTATTGTAAACATCACCCACTCAAAGAAGTAACAGAGTATTGTAAGAAGGGACAATATGATTCAAGAGACTTTCTGTAAAGACACTGTGCAATCAAAATTATCTGAAATAGTCCTTTACTAAAAGAATCCAGAATACTTGGATTATATATAGAACAATGCAGTCAGGCATACAGGTAATATCTGTCTTCACTCCCTATGATACCTAATCCAACAAAGGATAATTAATTTATGTTATTTTTAAACATTATTTAACAAGAACTTTACAGATGCATATGTTTTGTTTTTTTGTTTTTTTCCCCTCTTAATAGCTATTAATGTGTCAATATAAACATTTAAATTTTGTGCATAATATCAATTTGACAATTAAACGCACTGATTTAAGCATGAAATATTGTTGATCAACTTCACAGCAGTTGAACGTGAGAATAAAATGTCAGAAATTAAGCTTGGGCAGGATTGTATAATGTTACTTCAGCACTTGAACTATGGTTATTTATCTTTTATACCTTTTTCCTTACCGCACATTTGAACCTGAGACCTGTCACATGCCAAGCAAGTACTCAAACAATTGACCCTAAAGGGTTAACCCACTAGCATTTTGTAGTAAGTCACATTTTAACAACGACACTCTTCCTCTGTCACAAAGAAAGAGTAAGTAACCTTTAATAACTAACTAAAATTGATTATGTTGTAGTAACTTCAACATTATCCTGTCACATTTTAGGCAATTGCTTTACCAACTGAGCTAAAAAGAGTTAATTAGCAGTTACTTTAAGTAACGTTTTAATAACTTAAACTACTACAAAGCTTATAGTTGGTTAAAGTATTTGCCTACTAAGCAGAGTGGTAGCCTCAAGACTTACCTACGTTTTAGTGTTCTTTCAATGAAATAATTTCAAAATCACAGGTTTTATGCCACAATTATAATATTAATTTAGCACTTCCACCAAAATGAACCAATTAAGCAATAACTGAAATTTACAGCATGTAAGACTTGGTAACTTAGTTTAAGTAGTTTAGTGTTAAGACAGTTTTGGACATGAATTCCACAGAGTGCCAGTAAAAAGTGAACATGAATTTTCATTTTGATAACTAGTTTCCACAAGCTTAAGAGAGTTACAATAGTCCTAAACATGTATAATATGCTGACAATCTAAATAATAAAAATTAAAAAAAAAAAGAATGACATTCAATACATTAAATATTATGACCAATATTGTTTATGGAAGTAACAATAAATAAATAACATACATTGATTAGGGAACACAGAAACACCAGCTGTTGGCTTGAACTACTATCGTAGAATTAGACAATACATGAGGTAATAATTGTTAAAAAGTTGTTAATTAGGCTTAACCAGATAACATTCTATGTTTCCAGTTAAATGATAATTAGTTTACTCTGAAGGAGACAGTTTAACAAGTTGAATGCTCTTCAGTTAATCTGCCACTTGTGAAAAGTGCTGTACTAACAAACTAATGTATTTAGGAGATGCATAGATGGACAGCTAAGGTAAATCAGTGTGAATATTCTTGTGTAACTGGAAGGAACGAGGTTAAATATCACTAAGTGAAGTTCCAGGCAGACTTGTATAACATAGATATTAAACGTACTGACTACTACTGAGACTAAAGAATGACAGCTATTTGACTAATAACTGTTACAATGTACTTTTGACAACAGTAAATTCTTCCTAGCATCTGTATTGTCAAACAATTTCTAAATTATTTTTCTTTATAGCATTCTATGTTGATACTACAAAATGTCTGCTATTCACAATACTATATTAGCAATGTTATATTAATAACCAGTTAAATCTGTGCTTCCTGTTAAATTTCTTCCTTTTAAACGTGTCTATATATGTTTATACACACATACAGCTGCCAGATACTTTCAGTTGGTTGGTACGAATGCTTTCTGATTTGGAAACAAAAATTGTGTCAGTGGAGAGGATTGATGAGTTCTCTGTTCTTCCATCAGAGGTAAGCTATTCAATGTTTTTGGATCGTTCTTATTTCTATTCTTATAATATTTTTTTGTATTTGGAAGTTGTTAAATTTAGTGTAAAATATTTTATGCATGAAATCCCGTACTAATGATTTTTGAAACATTAATTATATAATATTTGAGGCCATCAGATTTATTTTCATTAAGTTTTTAATAGAAAGTTATATATAATTTCTTAAATAAGCTGCACAATTTTAACTACAGGTTACATCAAAATGAAGGATAGCATGATTTTTACACAGCATATCCAAACCTTAGATGAAATAAAGTTAGATTTAATTTTGTGGAGAAGAAAAAATAAAAGAACGGCCACAAAACAAACATTTGACACTGGGGCACAAACCATAAAGTGGGGTATTATGTAATGTGCTCTGGATTTTTGAGGTACCAGTGGAAGTAAGACCCAAATTGGGTACCCCATATATCTTTTTAACCTGAATTTCGTCAGCCTTACATGCTTAAAAAGAAATATCAGATGTGGGTGCTCAAGCACATTACATAATGTTTGTACCTCAGTGTTGGATGTTTCTTTTATAGCT